CCAAGACACATTACCAAACATGGCAGCGAAAGCTGCAAACGTCCGAACGGCACAGGCGCAAGGATAAAGCGCAGGCTGGCTAGCCTTCATAACCCCGCGGACAACCAGGGAGACCTGCACCCGCGAACAAGAAAGAAGGGGAAACTGGATCAACCCAAAGCATGTCCCTGGACATAGAAGCCGTGGCGCACAAAGAACGGCAGAGGGCCGCAACCATACACAAAACACGATGCACCCCCGGCCCTACCAACCAAACATCAACAACCAAAAGATCCCTCCGGAAAGCAGCAGTCTCATTCTTTGCCAGAAAAAAAGGAGAAGGCTGCAGACGAACAAACCTATCGCCACGACTGAAGGAGCAGAAAACCGCTGCGCCGGAGAAGAGCATGAAGCACTCCGACCCGAACCCCCAGAGGCCAATGCCAATAGAAAGAGAGACTCCGAGAAACAAACCTGAATCGAAGGGGCCACAACAAACTGTGGAGAAGATGGAAAAGACAGAACCCTACCCAACGACTAGGACGACTCAGGCGGCGCATGAGCAGGCCGGAGGAGAACAACGCATGAGACAGCTTGCGAAACGGCACAGATGTAACATCAATACCGAAAGCAAGCTGAAGCGGCTCCGCCAGCTCTGCACGACAAGAGGCGACAGTATGGGGCAAGATGACGGCCCCGAACCTCTACAAGAGAAGGACAAGATCACGCCAACAAATGCAGCTACCTAAGAAGGGACAGAAGGAAAAGAAAGGACCGCCAAAAAACCCATACTGCCGCCAAGAAGAAGCACACAGGTGGGACACCATCAACAAAGCCACCCGATCACTAACAGTAGGTGAGAGACTCGAGGCAGAACCGAACCAGCCCTGCCATGGGCCAATCGAGCCTAGGAAGAGGTGGAGCAACGGGAAGATCTCAGATGCGACTACTGAGCCAGCAAAGCCGGGAACCCAAGTTGGCAAAGGAGGAGATGGAATGTCTGCCATACAGAAGAACATTCCGACGCCAGCGAGCCCGCCAGGAGATCGGAGATGACAAGCCCGACGCGAGACTCTAGAGAAGGGACACTGTGAGACCGTGAAAATGCCAACAGGCAGGATAAGCCAGGAAAACAGGAACCCAAGCCTGGCAATAGGAGAGCCAAAAGGCACAAAGAAAACACACAACAATGTGCAAGATAAAATGAGAAAAAAGAAAACACAAGAAAAGACCAGAAGAACAGCCCCTGCACCAAAGGTAAGGAACAAGAGCGTAGAAGGAAGATGAGGATCAAAGAAGGCAAGGAGCAAACGGGAATGAAAGGGACACGACCAACAACACACACAGCCACTGTTATGTCCCAACAAGCCACGCCAACAACACAGTTGTTCAACACATCCCAACACAAGACTAAATGGAAAAAAGGGTGCAAAGGTATGCCACCAGACCAGTACCCGAACCAAGGAGTACGAGCTAAGGATATGATCACAACATTCAAGATTCTCAAAGGACGTAATAGGGCAGAGAAAGACCGACTACGGGACCCCAGGGGCACACGCACCAGGGGACACCGGTGGAATGAGAGCCCAAATGAGCCACAGATACGTTGGTAAGAAGCATTGCAGTGTCAGAGTAGGAGACAAACGGGAACGCATGAGGAAGCGGTGTGGTGGAGTGTGTGGTGGAGGACGACACCACACACAGCAGCAAGCGTAGATATGATAGAGCCCAGTAGGCTCAGGAACCCGCACATTAGCTACTGACAAGTGAGAAGCGAGACCAAAAAGCCAGAGTTCAACTCCCACAAACACCACTAGGGAAGGACAACTAGGTAAATACAGAGAATCCAACGTATATGGAAGGGCTAAGCCAGGCACTATAAGACGGACAAGGTATGAGTGAGCCCGATAAGACCACGAAACACGGGGCCGTGACCCCTCTTTGCAACCATAACCCAGACAACCAAGAAAGGCCCCAAGAAGAAGCATGGAAGGGCCAAACAAAATGCTACAACCAATCCCCAACACGCATCCACAGTAAGAAAACTGCAGCAAAACGTCACCTCATAACATCCCAACACAGGAACACTTATCCCATAACATACACCCTTATCCCATAACATAAAACACTGTACCTTGTAACCTGGTGTTTTTTTTTTATTTTTTGTTGCAGGGATATTCCTGCACAGGCCTTAAGTCTCTGGCTGGCCCACTAACTGGTGGAGATGGGGCCCCTTGTTGGACTCAAGCATGGGCTGGACATGCATAAGAGTGGGACTGGATGGGTATAATAGGAGCTGCCCGTATGGCCCAATAGGCCTGCTGCAGTCACCTGTGTTCCGAAGTCCGTATATTCGTATCCAAAAACCATGAACCAGCACCTGGCCGAAAGAGATGCCAGACCCCATAAACTCACCTGCAGAACATAGGCACGAACGTGTCACAACACAGCGTAGCTGAGAAGATGCCGGGAGCACCGCCAGTGGAAGACGGCAAAGCCACACATGCAGGAGAAGAGTTGGGAAGAGGCGAAGGAGGCACCCGACACCCATAGCAGCAATCCAGAACACTGCAAGTAGCTACGGGGCACGGACTGGAGATGTGAGAGGAGCGAGAGGCGAAGCACCCGAGAGAAAAGGAAGCACAACACCAGCACATGTGCACACCGCCCATATCAATACAAACTACCACGGCCCATGTGCAGCCGCAGGGATGCCAGATTTGGTTTGCTAGAAGTCGCGAGCTGAAGAAATAAAAATCATGAATGTGACCATAAAACCAAACAAAATACTGTTGATAAAGATTGATTCCCTTTTCAGAGTACACAGGACAGCTGTGAAGAGCAGGCAAAAAGAGTAGGAAGTAGCGAAACATACATAGCATAGCCCTTCAAGCGGGCTACAAGTAGCCCAATCGGGCTACAAGTAGCCCAATCGGGCTACAAGGAGCTCAATCTGGCCACCCTGCAGTGCAGGACCAGAGGTTTGAACCGCACAACCCGCTCAGCGGGAAGGCGCCAACAAGGAATATGGAAGAAAATGAGCAGTGCTGAGACAGAGCACGGAGAGAAGATACAATCACGAAAAAACGAAACAGGACCAAAACCCGTGAAGAAGCACGGAGGAGAAAGCAACAAGCCCTAGAAAGGACCGGAGGGAAGCCAAACCGGAAGATGACAGACATTCCAATAATACAGAAAGAAGCAAAAACCTTCCTGAACCTTCGAGAACCTAAAGAAGCAAGCGTAAAGTACGAAGGAACATAAAGGCACAGTCGCACCCGAGACCAAAAGCCATGCAGAACCCCTAGAAGAGGGGAACATGACGGTGAAGGTCCATCAAGAGAAGGGCGGAGAAACAGAGAAAAATACCCAATGACAGGGTGGAACCGACGGATCCAAGGGACAAGGAACTGAACCCGGGAGGGGCTGACGCCCAACAACTCGTACGGAGAATGGGGGAAGAAAAAACCCCACTCCTCGTAACTGCAAGCCCCGCCCAGAGGCTAGAAAAACCCCAGCGGGGTCCAACGGGGCCCAAGGAACCCCCCAAGTCAGCCCCCTCACCAGCCCAGGGAACCCACACAACAGGTCCCGGGGCCGAGCCGTCCCCCCAAAACCCCAACTTCACAAGAAAAAGCTGCGGCAGCCGGAAAAGTACTAAGGAAGGGAGCCCACTGGCAGACCCACACAACACAACCGGAGGAACAGGCTTGAATGCCTCCGTCGCTACCCTGGAAGGGAAAATCCCCGAGACCGCCCGAGTCTCAAGACCATCGAAGCCCCGCCCCGACCCCGAACCCACAAACGGCAAGGACCCAGATGCAGGGAGGAAGGGGGGACCCCAGACTAGACCACAACAAAGGAAAGACAAGGGGGCATGGAAGGAAACAAGATCAAAGTGACCGACACCCCCAAGCCCCGTCACAACAACCAAAATGAGGCAGCCTCAGGAGTAAACACCCTAGCACGTTGCCACCACCTGAACCCAACGTGCAACGCCCGTGCTGCCTGCACCCCCATAGTCAGCATAATACTGGGTAACTGAGTCACAAACAAGCAACGAAACTCACAGGACTCCGGATCGAAGGTGTCATCGACCCCACAGGCAGCAGACGGAGGCAAAAACAGAGAGAGTCACCTTGAGACAAGGGGACAGAGCAACCCTCGAACTCGCACAAAGTGAGGGGGGACTCAGAGGTCACATCCATCGAACCCACATGCCCCCATGGGGATTCCCAGGGTCCTGAGATGGAACTCACGCTCAGGGAAGCCCAGGCAGGGTACTGCTAACTGGCACCAAAGTCTACCAAACAACTTTCTAAGAACTGAACCCCCGGGATATGTACACTGACAGGAACCAAGCAGGGGAAACCATCATTAGAAGAAGAGTACTCGGTACACAGGGGTCAAGAACCAAGGTAGACCCCCCCCCCACCAGGCAGGCAAACAAAAAGAAAAAGAAAACCCCGCAAGAGGACAGCGTACCCAGGCGGAACAGAGCCAGCCACTATGACTGGTGGGAGTTCTATCCACTTGTTTGGCTTTTCGTCACAATTTTTACCAGAATAGGGGATTTGTTTTCGGGACGCTTACCTTTCTGGATGCCTGACCCCCCGTGTTTCTATAGGCCATTGCTCCCCTTGCCTCTCTGAGGGGGCCAGGTTCTGGCTCGTGGCTCCCGGTAGGCCTAGAGCTCCATGCACATTGAATGATGCCAAAGTCTAATATATCCATATCAGCCTGGATAGCTCCGGGAAGACGAAGGGGGCTTCCCCAGAACACCAGCGTTGAATGTAAAGAAATGCCATTTTGAAAATTTTCCACCCTTCGAGGTAAAGAAAAAGGTATGCTGGTGTATAAAGGTATGCCACCATCCCATCGCCCGAGGCAATCACCGCTGAGGGATAAGTACTGAATAAAAATGGGAAAACAAGCCCGGGTACAATTACACTTACACTTGTAATATCACTTAGGTAATTATAGTATAGAGAAAGCAAGAACTTAAAAGTAAACCTACTTACATTTTGTTAAGAGCATGAATGGCAATGCCCCAAGCTCCATGTTTGTTAGAGAGGATATTGGTAATTTTGTCTAGGATCCGCGCAGCTACGACATTGTCTCTTCTGCGGGCAGCTGTGATCAAGTGGTCACACATCTTCTCTTCCTCACGACGTTCCAACACCGTTGTGGCACATAAAGACTGACAAATGAAATTGAGAATGATTATTAAAATGTTTTTTAATGGTGCATTTTTCTTAAAACTATGAACTATAAGATGTTATGCAATAATCAATTAAACTACAAAGGAGACATACAGTAGCTAATATATTCTAGAACCAGCCCAAAATGTTCTGCACTGTAAGCCAAACTTTAGGTTTTACTTTACATTCTCTGACAGACTAATTGATAAAGAGGAAGTGTTCTCCAACTGGCTAACTGGCAAAGGTGAAGTGTTCTCTGACTAACTAACCAGCAAGGATGAAGCCTATACCTATCGGCTTCTACAAGCTGATAGGTAAGAAAGAAGTGATCTCTGACAGGTTGGCATGTAGGATGTAAAGAAGGGGTCCTTTTTGGAAGATCGAGATAGTGTTGATAACTCAACTGTGTTGGTTTGTAAGAAAAAGACATTTGAAATTCCCACCAGCACAGTGGCTAGTTCTACACATGTGCATTGCATTGTAATTACTTAAGTGTAGTTACAGGATGAGAGCTATGCTTGTGGTGTCCCGTCTTCCCAGCACTCTTTCTCATATAACGCTTTGATTGTTGCAGTGTGAGGATGGTTTCCCTCTTAAACATCAATATAATATAAACATCAGTTCAATGAAGTAAAATAAATCATCTCAAGTACATTCAGTGATTAGAAAATGTGGAAAAAATCAGTGTTAAATGTAGGAAACCAGTTTGAAATTCAATGAGACAAAGAAATAAATTGGGGTTATGATCTAAACGCTGGCAGTTTGACAGAAAACGTGCACCGATTATGACATCAGACCAGCCCCTGCTCGCTTTAAACGCTTTCATGTATGCATCACTGGTTCCTGATTTCCTTTCACACATTTCACTGCCTCTGTTATGTAGCAGCTAGTCAGAACCAGTCATTTACAGTCACAATAAGTCAGCCAAGCATTCACAGACAAGACCAGTCACAGGCAGTCATAACCAACTGCAGTCAAGCATTCACAGTTGTGGTAGCAACCGGTTAGGCATTTATGGTCAGTCAGGCATTTACAGTCAATCAGGCATTCACAGTTGCAATCAGTCAGTTAGTAAACAATAAGAGTAATGTCAGGTACTCATGCAGTCTGCCTCCCAAGCCACCAGCTGGTAGCAAGGAAGCCTACCGTATTAATACCATCCAGACATGGCTGGGAGGATACAGCTGGAGGGGGGGGGGGGGTCCAGTGTGGAGGATGGGGGAAGCGGGGAGGGCCAGGTATGGGGAAGGGGGCTCTTGGGGAGGGATCAGCTCATGTTAGTCCTAGTCAGAAGCTCGCCCACTGCAGGAACTCATCTCATGCCACTGGCTGCCTGCCCACTGCTACCCACCCACTATGCCGCCCGTTCTGCTACTCACCTGCCCACCCACTGTCTCCTAACTGCCCTACTACCCACCCGCTCTGTGCCCGCCCTGCCACCCACCTCCTTAGTCTACCATCTGCCACCCTCCCGTTCTGCTGCCTGCGTTCCCACTATGCCTAATTTGCCAACCATCTCACTACTACCCGCTTGCACACACTGACACCTGCCTGACCATCCACTCACTTTGCTGCCCACCCTGCTACTCATCCATCCAGTCACTCTACCACCTGATTTGCTGCCCACCCATTCGCCCTCCACATATTCTTTCCTTACATGATTCTATAAAGGTGGTGTTTCTGAAAGATTTTCTTTCCCATCCTCTCACCACTCTCATCCGCCTGCCATCCATCTGGTCCCCCCCCCACGATCCGTTCAGTCTTCCCACCATCCATCCATCCTGTCCCTTCCCTCACCATCCATCCAGTCACCCCACCATCCATCTTGTTGCCCTCCCAAACACGACTAAAAAGATAGTAACATTTTATGCCCTACAGATAATAGTGTGGCCCAGAATTTAACAACTTGGGTATAGCCCAATATATGTCATTAATTAAATCAAGTGGATACTGAACAAGCACTTCATACTCCAAGGCAACTTCGTACACCGAGTAAAATTTTACAATAAAATTGACTTTGTACACTGAAAAAATTCATACTCTAGGCCACTCGTAGACCAAGGTACCACTGTATTACGGAGAGGGCATACAAAATCAACAAAACTATTTCACGATATTAAAAATATTTAGTATGGTATCGAGTGAAAATTTGTCATCATATTTGATATTCTTACCTCAAATTCAGCGTGTTTAAGCACATCGTCGGCTCTCATACGGTTGAGGATAAATTCAGCTTCATTTGCCACTCGCACAATGTGGTCCTTCATGGCATGTGATAGAAGTCTGAAGTTGAAGAAAAAGTATACAAAATAGTATTACATCAATTATATTACAGTAGCAATATGCAGGGAAATAATTACATGGGAAGAATAACAATTATAATGTAGGCCTGTTAATTTATTGTATGTATATGTATGTATGTATGTATGTATGTATGTATGTGTAATTACCTAAGTGTAGTTACAGGATGAGAGCTACGCTCGTGGTGTCCCGTCTTCTGCTCGCTCGCTCGCTCTCTCTCTCTCTCTCTCTCTCTCTCTCTCTCTGTCTCTGCCTCTCTCTCTCTCTCTGTCTCTGCCTCTCTCTCTCTCTCTCTGTCTCTCTCTCTCTCTGTCTCTGTCTCTCTCTCTCTGTCTCTCACACACACACACACACACACACACACACACACACACACACACACACACACACACACACACACACACACACATATATATATAAATTATATATATATATATATATATATATATATATATATATATATATATATATATATATATATATATATATATATATATATATATATATTAATTTATTTATTTTCCAGTATCCACCCATGTCTCCTTGTTCTGTTAGTAATCAGTGTAAATATTTCACCTATTTCTACTCTACTTATATGTTCCTATCATATCCCCCCTTTCTGTTTTTTTTTACTTTCCTCTGTTGCACTGAATGATCCCGATTGGTAGAATTATTTTAACTGAAGTTAATTACACAAGCATCTTAGGGAAGAGCTATTCCCAATTACAAAATGGCTATTTGACCTTTGAGAAAAAGTGGACATGGAAACTCTGATGACCTGTGACCGCTGAGGTCACTCAAATTGTTCCGCGCCGAGATCTAGTCACGGCTCGTGACGTCACTGATGGTGACTTAACTCATTCTTCTAGCAATCAGGGTACTCTTGATACTATAACCAGGAATATTATACAATTTGAATGAAGACTAATTTCTCTAAATAAGTGAATTCTGTAAAATAATTCATTATACGAAACTGAACAAAGGCGGGAATTATTTTCACCGCCAATCCCCCCAGGGAATGTGACCTTGTTGGGTCAGGTCCCTACACATGGTTTCTAGAACCTTCTGGATCATACCTACAACAGCCAGTTTGTTACATTCCAATTAAACAAAGATGCAATAGCACCAGTCAGAGGAACAGAAGCCCTAAACAAGAAAACAAAGCTATAGAGGTAACCACAGTATAGGACAGTACAGATATAGTATTCATTATTCACAATAACTGCAAACACAAATTGACTTATTTAGGATGAAGAAATGTCTGAGACCTTTGCTACATGAACCAACATTTACTGTAAAGGTGTACCAATATATCAGTACATAATATTGGTTATTTTAAAAACCTGGAGTATCAGTATCAGTTAATAAGTCATTACAGCTATTGGTATTGATCAAACTCTTGGTATATGCATATCTCTAACTTAATGCAATAAGTGATAATTAAAAAGTAATGCTTGACAACTTATGAGCATACCTCCCCTCATTAATTAGCTCTATAAAGGCAAGTCCTGCATGCTTCTGGAGAGAGTTCTGCCACTCCTGTGAGCACAGCAGCATAACAAGCTCAACCACACTCTGACTGTGCTTGAATGTCATTAGACCTGAGGAGTAAACAGAATGATTAAATAGGTTACAGACAGAAAATCACAGTAACATGATTGACAATAAGACACCCCACCCCCACTCCTGACAAGAAAGGCAGTGACGACGTTTGGTCTCTCCTGGATCATTATAAAGAAAGGTGAAGTCATTTCTACACACAACTTGATAATGGTCCAGGATAGACCAAAATATTGTCACTGCCTTTCTTTTCAGATGTGTGCATTGGGTATCTTATTAAATAGGTTATTATGGAAAAAATAATAATTGCAGTGCATTCCTACAATGTCAGAGTTAACAACAAACATGAATTAAAGTACAGTAGTTATAAAGGTATACAATTATTTGACTATTTCAACAGTATAAAGTGCATATATTAATCAATTAACAGTAAAGCATTGGTCAAGCCAAATGTATGCAAGAGCTTGGTACAGAAGTATAATATTTAACTTACAAATGTCAAAGCCAAACAAATTAATCCAGTGTAGATTAAATAGGAACATGCATAATGTATTAAAGGTGCATCTGCATACACAAAGAGCCTGTGCTTATGGTCAAAAATACCAAAAATATACAATGCCCAAAGAAAGCACTGCAGTGTGCAAAATATATAAAACAAATTTCACTTATTTTTTACTAGAAAAAAATAGAATGTTAAATGTAATGAAACTCCACTCTCTGTGCAGCCCTCCCGGAGATATCACAAGACCAACACTTGATATCAGGCTCCTGTGATATGTGCAGCCTATTGGCAACCTGGAACAAATATCAGACGCCACCAAAGAGGTGAGTGAACCATGTGGGGATCAAAAACATACCCACAACTGACAAGAATCACCTAGACGGTAAAAGATGAAATTAATCAAATCACTGCTTCATAAACAAGTAATATTAAGAATGATGAGCAAATGAGTTAATATTGGGTAAACAATCCTTGCTCAAACTCCATCCCAGCTGCCACCATGTAACAGCCCAGGTTAATAAGGGCCCCCAGTTACCCACCCTCATCACTTATGTACCTGATATGATCCTTTCACAAGTGAGATCATTGTTTCTGCTTTTTAGCTAGGAGTATTTTGGTATCCATGGGACACCGACTCTCCTGCTTGGGCCTTGCTTTGTCTGTTATAGCAGTTCATGATTGTGTTATGCCAATCATCTTGTGAGTCTATTGCCCTCTATTTTGCTCCTGCTTTTATTTGAGAGATCTCTTTAGAAGTACTGGCTAGCATTCCTTTTTCACCACTAGTGCTAACTTCCTCTGAGGTTAACTTTCTCTAAGGGTTGGTTCTTTTTGAGCCGCTTCACTTCCAGGTAGTGCCATATGGCTTGGTTGCCGAAGCAAGCACTTTTGGTGGAGACTGAGTAGTTAGCCGTGTCGTTGTATGTACGATATGCTTGTCCCTGCCTCGCGTGTTGGTTCATTGATACCTTGACTTAGTTCATCTTCCTTCATCATCTGTAAGAAGGGGTTTGTTATCTGAAAATTCTTTTGCACCCGACTTTTTTTTTTTCTCCAAAATTCTTCATTTAGGCAAGACAGCTAGTTTCAATGCTCTAGGGAAGTTTGTTTATCTTCTTCATATGTTGACTGGGATGAAATGGTTTCCCCCCACCCAAATCAGAGATGGGTTTTGCTGCATACAACTATGTAGGATATGCCTGTATGTGTTCATACTGCAGGGCTCTTGTGTTTTCCCTTTCTGAAGTGGCTGCCAGGGAAGTTGAAGTAAGGATTGCTGACCCATTGCCAACTATTGTTTGCATGTTTTCTTAATTTCATTCTTTTATTGTAGAGTAACAGTTTCTGTTGTTTAATCTTTGACTTTCTGAACAATTATTCCTCAGTTGTGGTCAGTTTTTCATATCCACATGCATCCCTCACCTCTTTGATGGTGGCAGGTTCTGGGCTTGGTTCTTAGTAAACCACAAGAGCCTGATATAAAGGAGTGGTCCTACGATACCAGTGCCTTAAACCCTGGGGAGCTACTGAGGGAGCCACTAAAGAAATAAATATCAATCCTTAGACTTTTGTTACATTATATTATGCTTTCAATACATCTGTAAATTGAATGCAATTATTTTATGCATCAATAAATCTAAGGCCTACCAATATGTCAATCATTTTATTTCTTAACGCAAGTATTAAGTGTAATTAGATATTGAAATGCCTGGATAATGATGTTTGAGGTAGGCATTCATCTCTTAACACAATATGACTCCTCAACATGAAAAATTAGTAGGAGCCGTGAAGAGAATTGGAACCTATGCTCTGGGTACTCCCAAGCAAATGCCTTACATCAATCACTACACCATGACATGGGTAAAAGCACTGCAACCTGGGATTCAACTGAATCCTCAAGGGGTCCCAAGGCTTCCAACTGAAACTTATCCAAGGTTTCATGCACTGCCCCTCGGCACTCTAGTCGTTGTAGTCTAGGAGTTCTACCTCCAACTTTTCTCTTCAAATGCACATAGAAATGACATTAATATGATGTATCAATGAGAAAATCAGATGGAATCATGAGGAGGATTTGAACCTATGCTCTGGGTGCTCCCAGAGCATAGTGTAGTGGTCTCAGTCATTTGCTTGGGAGTACCCAGAGCATAGGTTCGAATCCTCTTCATGACTCCTACTGATTTTTCATTGAAACATTACATTAATATGATTCTTTGTGCACTTCACAATATGTAAAAGTTGCCAGGAAGAATGTATAACAAAATGGCAATCATTAATAAAAGGTATATTCCTGAAAAAGAGATTTAATAAGCTACAAAGCCCCCACGCATCACAATATTTTGTAGCTTCCCAATGCAATGTGTACCATATCTAAAACAATATGGATTAGGCATTAAAAATCCTACACAATAGGAGAAAATGTACTAAAATTACCAAAGCTGCCACAAAACAGATGCAAAGGTGTACCAAATTTGATATTATTACACTTGAGCATTGCTGGGTTATTGACAAACACAAACACTCCCTCCAGAAAAATTAATTATACTGAACAAGGCAAAATCTGTGATAACAAGGTTTTATTAAAAATTAATATATTTTATGAGAATGAATTTAGTCTTCCTTCAAAAGTTGGTATGGAGCTGAATTAAGGTTTCCTTCAAAAGCTACTAATTTAAACCTTAATTAAACTTAGGAGTTAATTAAGCCTTTCTTCAGAAGCCAAGATGTTAGAGCATCATAATTGTTCAACCCATCTTTACTACCTAATCATGTACCACAGACCTCATAGCCTCTCAGTCTCCCATGCATGACATTACATCCCTCAAGGCTGAGGGTGCATTAGATGAGAATTATTAATTTTAGAGACGAGATACGATTCCAACTTTATTACACATTTGTTTAAATTTTCCCGAAATTTATGAAATGGAAAGAGAAAGTTAAATTAGCTGCAATACATCTGAAAGATTGCTGCTTGTATCACAGACAATGGAAAATTCAGACTGATGATCACCCTTTATTGTAGGATATGGATTTTAGGGTGTAATTTATGATCACAGTGAAGAACCTAACACTTTCAGAATGACCACTCTTCAGATTTAATTCAATTTCATTTCTATTTTATTTCTGAGCTTATACCACTAGGTCAGTCAATTAGGCTCAGTACTCAGTGGACTCCAAACAGGGTCAGAGAAACCTTCTCTATCCCCAAAGCAGCTTGGATCTTTTCAAAACTGTCCCCACATGGGAACAAAAATATTCACCAACACACAAATAACCTCCATGTAATACTTATATTTCAGACACATCTGCTTTGTTCACTGCTACTGCTAGTTCACTGCCTGACCACTACTTCTACCCACCTTCAATAGTTCTGGCAGTGTAAATAGAGGGCAGCCAGGAATCCACAATTTGTATGAGATTCATTTACAAGTGACAGTTGATTCTGGGTGACATATTATATCTCGTGTGTAGTGGACCCATGCTTTAGGAATTTAGGTGAATATTCTATGTCTTGAAGTGTATATTTTCACTGTCTTTGCATCTGTTGAGCTTTCACCGAACCGGTATGAAGAGACTTTACTGTGCTGGTTTGGTACTGCATTCAGCTACAACTTTAACATCTTAAATTGACCCCCTTACTCTTGCTGGTATGCTGAAATCTGGTCCCAAGCCTAAATGTTTGTGTACACATGAATAATGGGGTTTTAGTCGAGGTGTTATATTGCTTGTTTGCCACCTTCAAGGTGTTCTTTGCTATGACCCATGCTGATATTGAAAGCCTGTAAGGTAATGAAGAACTTCTGTAAGTTTGTCCCATATTACCTGACTCGTTATCATCAGTATGTGGCACTGGACTGTCTCTCCTCATGTTGACAAATACTTTAGTAGTGTTAAGGTCCTGGATGTCTGGTGCTCCGTGATGTGGTTTCTCTCTTTCTCTTCAGCACCTTCATCTGCCTTCCTACAGCATGGGTAAATTTCCCATAAATTTTATTTTTATTTTCTTATCTTGTTCTCTTTTCTGGTCATGACATTTTATTACCAAAGGAAGCAATCAAGTGGTTTAACTTCAGAAATAAGGCATGGAAAAAAGGTGAAAAGCTCTGTTCTGAGCAAGTCACTTGGTGGCCTCCTGTGCTCTCTTATTTGTCCTGACCTGTCTTGTGCCTTTTCTGAAGTTATAGAATTAAAATAAGGCTGGATACCTGGTTGCCCTCTGTTAACACAGCCAGGGCTGTCATTTGGTGTTGGGTGAAGGTAGTGACCACAGAGTCAACTAACAACTGATCCAGTACAGAAGGTAGCAGGAGCAGCTACACAAAACCAATGGTTTAATTAAAATTCAAGTGCTACTGGACTGTACTGTGCTGTACTGTTGGAAGGTTGAACTTACCTAATTGTACTTACCTAATTGTGCTTGCGGGGGTTGAGCTCTGGCTCTTTGGTCCCGCCTCTCAACGGTCAGTCAACTAATGTACAGGTTCCTGAGCCTACTGGGCTCTATCATATCTACACTTGAAGCTGTGTATGGAGTCAGCCTCCACCACATCACTTCCTAATGCATTCCATTTGTCTACTACTCTGACACTGAAAAAATTCTTTCTAACGTCTCTATGGCTCATTTGGGCACTCAATTTCCACCTGTGTCCCCTAGTGCGTGTGCCCCTTGTGTTAAAAAGTCTATCTTTATCTACCCTATCAATTCCTCTGAGAATCTTGCATGTGATGATCATGTCCCCTCTAACTCTTCTGTCTCCCAGTGACGTGAGGTTTAATTCCCGTAGTCTCTCCTCGTAGCTCATAGTGGCAAACCTTTGAACCTTTTCCATGTTGTGAATGTGTGTGTACATGCATGTACTTTCCGAAGTCATTCAGGGTTGGTGTGATATTTCTCCAGTGTCTTCATCCCCCATCTATGGACTGGTGAGAATATTTGAAAATGATCCCTGGTGCACCAGGGATGATGAAGGTTGCATAGACCCTGGCTGAAGTCCACTTTTTCATTGTTTATAAATCCAAAGGCATGCTTCAAATGTAAATCCTGTTAAGCAATGCAAAAATGTTAACATGCATTCAGTGCATCTCAAGTGCTCTACTCTAAAAGTTCAAAAAGATTTTAGTAAAAATTACTCTTTCAAAAGGTTGATTGGGGATGACTTCACCACAGTACGTCAAGGAGAGGTAGAATATCCACACCACGAAAAACAAGAAAAAAGAACCCCACAGCCTCACCTTTACCTTCCATGAGAAGTTCCTGCCCATGGGAACCCACAAGGGTCTTGGAGAGAAAGGGAGCAAAGTCCACCATTATCTCCCGTAAAAGAGGGGATACAGATCCCAATGCCATCTCTAATTTCTGTGTGAGAGATGCCTCACGAGATGGTGTTGGAATGGGTAAGTCAGAGTGAAGGAATGGCTTGATGTTGAGATCTTCCGGTCGGTGGTGCTTTACAGTGGAAGTTACTGGATCAGGTATATTGGACGGAGAAGAGAGTACAGAAATTTGACCAGAGAGTTGCTGCTGAGGGTCTGACTGTGATAACGACTGTGGTTGCGATAGCTGTGATTGTGATTGGGACTGCTGGCTAGGCATTTGTTGTGTTTGTAGTTGTGGCATCTCACCAGTCTCTGTTATACCATACACTGTAAAAAAAAAAATATATATATTAATAGATATATATGTGTATTAACATTTTTTAATTTGTTGAAAAATATATAATTGAATGAAATAAACACCATTTCTGGGGGAAGCCCCGTCGGCTCCTCGGAGCTATCCAAGCTGATATGCTAATGTCAGACTTTGGCATCAGTCATGTGTATGAAGTTCTGTGGGCCTACTGGGGACCACGAGCCAGAACCTGGCCCCCCTCACAGAGGCACGAGGAGCAATGGCCTATAGAAACCCCCCATGTGGTTGGAAGCATTCTATGTCTGCCATCGACCGGGATAGGCACCCAGAAAGGAAAGCATCCTAAAACAAACCCCTATTTAGCTGAAAATTGCTACAAAAAGCCGAACACATGGATAGAACTCCCCAAACAGAAACGAGCAAACAAGCATGACGTCACATGTCGCCGCACCACTATCTGCGCAGCTCCCCCCTTCCCGGAAGGGGGAAGGGGGAGCCCCAGACCCCCGTGCCGGCCATCCACACCCCAGTTCCGAGGCTGATGCTATAGGCAGCGGTCGTGTGCTCTGGCTCCAGTGGTTCTGTGCCTTGTGTGTGGTGACTGTCTTCTAGGTGGTGCGCGAGCCAGGAGAAATTCTTCAGTACATGGGCTGCATGCGCCTAGGGCTCCCTTCCCTAGGTACCCAGTAAGTACTGCCCTTGGAGCTTGGGGCCACCTTCCACAAGTTTCTTGGGTTCTGCCTCTGCTAGGCTGTTTACTGCTTGGTTTTCGGCCGCCCTTTGGGTGCTTGGGTGTTTTGTCTCCCTTGTTTACCTTAGGGTAAGGGGGCAGTTTGCACTGGTACGGGGTGCAAGGTACTGTGCAGCTTGTTTTCACCATTCATAGCAGCCGGCTCTGTTCCGCCTGGGTACGCTGTCCTCTTGCGGGGTTTTCTTTTTCTTTTGTTTTCCTGCCTGGTGGGAGGGCCTGCCTTGGTTGCCCCCTGAGTAAGGTTCCTGGGTACTAATTTCTCTTCAGGTGGTACCCCTTGCTAGATCCCTGTGAGTGTACACGTCCCGGGGTTCAGCTCTTAGCGAGTCGTTTGGTAGACTTGGGCGCCGGTTAGCAGTACTTTGCCTGGGCTTCCCTGAGCATCAGTTCCATCTAAGGACTCAGGAAATCCCCAAGGGGGCACACGGGTCTGATGGATGTGAGCCCTGAGTCCCACCCCCCCTCGCTTTGTGTGAGTTCGAGAGTTGCTCTGTCCCCTTGTCTCGGGTGACTCTCATTGTTTTTGCCTCCGTCACGCTGCCTGTTGGGTTGGTGACACCTTTGACCCGGAGTCCTGCAAGTTTTATGGGTTGCTGCTGACTCAGTTTACCCAGTTTAGTGATGACTTTCTTTGGGTATAGGCAGAGCAAGCGTTGCATGTTAGGTTTAGGTTGTTGCAACGCGCTAGGTTAGATGCTACGGCGGATGCCCGGAGGCTGTCCCGTTTTGCTTATGAGGACCCGGACTTGGGGGTGATGGTTGCTTCGGTCTTGGTTTCATCCACCCCCCCCCCCCTCGTCCTTTCCCTCCTGTGGTTGGGTCTGCCCCCACCCCCCTGCTTCCTGTTCTGAAATGTCTGAGAGTTTCCAAGACGGGGCAGGGTTTAGATGATCTTGAGACTCGGGCAGTCTCAGGGGATGCCCCTTCTGGAGTGACGACGGAGGCATTCAAGTCTGCCCTCCTTTTCGAAGCCTCTGGGTCTAACCAGTAGGCCCCCTTCTATCTGGCTTTTATGGTTGCACCAGCCTTTTCTTTTGAGGCCGGAGCTTTGGGAGATGACTCAGCCCTGGGTCCAGATGCAAGGGATCCCAGGGCTGACTTGGGGAACTTGGGTCCCGTTGGACCCTGTCTGGGTTTTTCAGCCTTCTGAGCGAGGCTTACTGTTACAATGAGAGTTTTCCTTTCCCCCTCTGCATATGAATTGGATTTGGTATCTGTCACTCCCCAGGTTCGGTTCTGAGTCCCTTCAGGTGCTTCGGTCCCGTCTTTCCGGAGGTTTTCGGCTTCCCGCATCCAGCCTAGTGTGGTGCATGCGGCCTTTGCAGCATACCTCCTGCGTAACCCGGATGTACGACTCTATCATGGATCTCTCTTTGTTCAGGTTTGGGTCTTCGTTTCCCTACTGGATCCGGTATGAGGTTCTGGAGTCGTCCTGGCTGGCAGACTGTCCCATTTTTGGTTTGGAGGCGTGACATTCCTTCTGTCGTTCCTGCATGCTTGAGTAGTGTGAGGCATTGACGGGGGTCCAGGTTTTCCTGGGGGGCGAGTTTGAGCACCTCAATGAGAGCTTGCTTGCCCCTGCCCTTCCTTGGGATGTAGGCATTATACAGCTCCATGTGCAGGTCCCTTCCCTTTCGACTGCGCAGGTTACTGAGGACTTGCGTGCTCGTGGCCTCTTGGCTTTGGCTTTGCGCATCTTTTCCCTTCTTGAGCTGTCTTTGGACTGGCTTGGGGAGGATGTGGGGCCGTTCCTGGGTCCGGTGCCTTGGGGTCGGTGGCTCGCTCGTCGTCTGCCTTGTTGAAGCTGTTTGCGCCGATCTTGCAGGATGCAGTGTCGCTGTTTTATGCCTCCCGGCTCGCGTGTTGGCAGGTGGTGATTACTTCCTCCCTGGAATCTGCCTGGGCCCTGGTTCTTTGGTTGTCTTCACCCTTCTACCCCTTGCTGTTTGCGGATTCTGCTGTGGCGCAGTATCTGGAAGCAGCTTCGGCTAATTGTCATCCCATGTTTGATTTGTTGGTTCCCCGGTGCCCCGGAGGGGTTGTGCCAGGGCTCGTGGTTCCACTTGTCGGGGTAGGCCACTGGTGCCAGTTTCGGGGCCGGCGCCTCCTTCGGAACCGCCTTCGTCTGGTGGGCGGGGTGTTCCTTCTGTGCGGAGCTCGAGTTCTTGTAAGGTGCACTGGCCCTTTCACGGTTTGTTCCATTGATGGGGCGATGGGAGAGGCTTGCTCTGTTCGCTCATGCCTGCTGTCACAATTTGTGTTTTTTTGGGGTCGTCTCCGACGATCTGCGATGGCGTTGGGTGGCTTCCCCTCCTTCGGGAGACTCGGGGCTGATGGGGCAGGCCTCTTCCCCTGTGCTCTGTCAGGTCATCTTGGAGTGGGTTCACTTGGGCGTGATTGAAACGACGACGTCCCTCAGGTGGGTCTCCCGCCTGTTTCCAGTCCCGAAACAGGACTGTGTGGACCAGAGGTTAATTCTGGACTTGTCCCATCTGAACCCCTGGGTTCATTGCCCCTTCTTTTGGATGCTTATGCTATCCCAGGTCCAGCTTCTGTTGGAGCTGGGCACTTGGATGGTGTCCCTGGACCTCCGGAATGCGTATTGGCAAGTCCCAATTCATCTGGGGTTTAGGGACTGGCTCAGTTTTGTTGTGGGGCATCAGAGTTACCCCTTTCATTGTCTCCCGTTCAAGTTGAACCTGGCACCTCGCGTTTTCACACGCCTTACACAGGTCGTGGTGGCTCGTCTGCATTTTTTAGGTGTTCGGGTGTTGGCCTACCTCGACGAATGGCTGGTCCGGGCTCCCAGCTGGTCCACATGTCTGCTAGCCAGGAGTTTGTTTTTTCCCAGCTTGCCAAGTTTGGGTTCTTGGTGAACTGGAGGAAGTCCCATCTGGTCCCCTCCCAGGTTCGGACTTGGCAGGGTCTTGTTTGGAACTCTTGGACCGCTTCCTTGTCTCTCCCTCCGGAGTCTCTCCTTTGCCTGCGATCCCGCCATTGCCGTTTTCTGGGGGGCTCCCGGGTCACCTGGTGGTTGCTCGAGAGTCTGTGCGTTAGCCTGAACTTTGCGATGTTAATACAGTATACCCGCCGTGTCGGGTTTGGCTACATCACCTGTTCTGGTTCCTTCGGGGATGTCCCTTCTGTCTCTCCCGATTGCTGGGTTCGACCCCCATTACGCCTAGCATCGGTTGCTGCGTTGTCGGCATTCTCTTTGGGTTTTTCGGGGTTCAGTGACATGGCGCCTACCCGAGCCCTCGCTCGATATGTTCATGGACGCTTCATCTCTTGGCTGGGGCTTTGTGACTAATGCTCACCAGGCTAGCCAGGGTCATTGGGGTCCGTCCTACCGTTGGGTCCACAGCATGGTACAGGAGTTTGCGGCGGTTTGGTTTCTGCTTCACAGGGTTCGGATCGCCCCGCGGATCGACGATACGCCTCCATTCGGACTGCTCCCCGGTGGTTCATTGCCTGAACCGAGGGGGTTCGATGCAGTCCCTGGCTCTTTGGGGCTGGTCACTTCAGGTGACTCATCTGCTGAGTTCTCGGGGTTTGGCTCTCCTGGCAGTTCACGATCGGGGGTGTCCATCATTTTGGAGGACAGCCTGTCTCGGTTCGTTCCCCTGTCCACGGAATGGATGGTCGATGCCAACTCATTCAGTTGGCTGTGCCAGACATTCGGGCACCTCCCGGTATATGTGGCACCCTTCCCCGACTGTGAGGCCGTCAGGATCGATGCCTTTCGGCAGGACTGGTCAAGGTAGGGGTTCCTGAACCTCTTTCCCCCGGTTCATCTGTTGCTCCAGGTCCTGACTCGCTTGGAGACTTGCCAGGGGAGAGTAGTCCTTTTGGCCCCATGGTGGCGGGTCAAGCCTTGGTTTCAGGCGCTGCTTGCATGGTGTCCGGACCTGGAGGTTTTCCCATGGCTCTGCCTCTTTCAGCAGATCAGACCGGTGCATCATATAGCTGGTTCGGTCTTCTCCCCGAGTCTACGTGTATGTTATTTTTTACTCGAGTTTATCATCATCTCTATGGTGATCAGTTGGCTTCGTTATTGGTGTCCCACCTGCAGGCTTCGTCTAGGAGGCAGTATGAAGTCTCTTGGCGGTCCTTTCCATTCTTTCTTCAGCTTCGTAGGTATAGTTTGCTGTTGGTTAGGGGTTGTTGTGTCCTTTCTTTTTTGGTTGTTCCAGGACCGTCGTCTCATGGCGAATACTGTCGTCTCCTATCGTGCAGCGCCATTTCGCAAGCTGTCTCGTGCGT